GCCGTTTCTTAGCTCTAACTTTGTCAAAACAAGCCGCATCGCTAAAACAATGAAAGTTTTATGCAGCTCACTCCCGAAACTTAACACCCCTATACTTGCTTTCATCAATATTGTTCTGATTTTTTGGTGCGAGCTCCGATTTAATGGCTAAAAAATCAGAAAATCCATTTTAAACATGTTTTTGCTATACTTTGATCAGGTTTTTAGCTCTAGCTTGGTCAAAACAAGACTCACAGCTAAAAGAACGACTGTTTTGTGAAACTAATGTACGAAAGAAACTTTCCCTATCGTTCGTTTTATGATTTTAGAAATTTTATTTTTTTGCAAAATTTTGAATCTTTTGAAGGGGAAACATTGTTAAAATTTACGAAAAATGGCGAAAGTTTTAGTTTTCAAGGTGGGGATGCAGTTTTGATTGACATCAAATTACGCGCTCAACGAGGTATTACATTCCAAATTCGGAAGAATATTGGCTTTGTTATGGGCATAATACAACCATTTCTATGAGGAACTCGGGACTAACAATACGAGGTGTGTTCAAAAAGTAAGGTGACTTTTCAAATTTCTCGGGCAACATATTTTCGATTATCGTTTTTTTTGTTTTGTTATATTGGTACACTCTTCCCTAACATCTGTACCAAGTTTCAATGGAACATCCTCTTTTGTTTGGTTGTGAGAGGCGTAAAGTTACAAGTTGTTTTGCGAGCTCGGCGATTTTTTGCTTTTTTCGGTCTTGGCTCGTCTGGGCTCTTCCATTGGGACGATTGGGCTTTGGTTTCGATATCATAACCATATACCCATGATTCGTCACCAGTTATGACCCTTTTGAGTAAATCTGGGTCGTCGTTGACGTCATTCAACAGCTCTTGAGCGATGCTCATGCGACGGTTCTTTTGCTCAAAATTCAGCAATTTCGGAACAAACTTCGCTGACACACGACTCATACCCAAAACGTTTGAAAAAATTTCATGGCACGAGCCAAGCGATATACCGACATCTTCAGCAACTTCTCTGATAGTGATTCGACGATTTTCCAAAACAATTTTCGTCACTGCTTGAACGTTTTCATCAGTTGTTGACGTGCTTGGGCGTCCAGAGCGAGGCTGGTCATTGGCATCTTCCCGGCCATCTTGGAAGAGTTTGTACCACTTGTACACATTTTTTTTACTCAGAACAGTTTCACCGTATGCCACTGTCAACATTTCAAGTGTTTCAGAGCACTTAATTTTATTTTTTACACAAAATTTGATGCAAATCCTTTGATCCATATTTTTCGATAGCAAAAAATCGCCGAGCTCGCAAAACAACTTGTAACTTTACGCCTCTCACAACCAAACAAAAGAGGATGTTCCATTGAAACTTGGTACAGATGTTAGGGAAGAGTGTACCAATATAACAAAACAAAAAAAACGATAATCGAAAATATGTTGCCCGAGAAATTTGAAAAGTCACCTTACTTTTTGAACACACCTCGTATGTTGCCCGAGAAATTTGAAAAGTCACCTTACTTTTTGAACACACCTCGTATTTCGTGTTTTCGATAAGGGGTAACCATCATCGAAATTGGAGAAATCTAACAAAAATTTGACATTTTAATGTGTGAACACAGTTCGATAAGAATTTTAATTATGAGACCAACGATGTTTAACATTCCATATTCCGACAACTATTGACTTTGTATGAGAACAATTTGGCAACAATCAGGATTACGAGCTTCGGCGATAACGGTGCTTGCCGTACATAAACCTTAGTCAAAACGAGGCTCAGACCTAAAGGAAAGATTGCTTTGAGCCAAAAATAAGGATAGTTTAGTCAAAGAACAGTATTTTTCCGAAGTGTGTGGCATTTGTAGGCCCTCGGTCCTGTTCAGTGTGGTCCGCTTAGTTGTGGATCTTATTTAATGGCGTCTCTTTGGTTTCGTTTGGTTTGGTTCTTTCCATACGATGTTTTTTGCCCTTTTGTTGTCGCTTTGAAAGGCTAAGGCACAAAGGCGAGGGAACCGCTAGTAACCAGTACCAATAACGACCGCCTGGCAAAACCACCTTGTGACCGAGCCAACTACCTCAATTTGCATATGGAATTTATGCTTTTGATGGCGCTGGCGAAGCCGGCCAAAGTCAACTGCATGTTAATGAAAGCCGAATGCCCTTTTCCCTTTTCCATTTTCCATTTTCCAACCAGCCCCGTGCAAGTAGCTGCCCCGCCGCCCTCTGCTAACATGACTTTTTTCAGCCCGCCGTGCATTTTTGAAAAGCGAAAAGTTCAAGGATTGCTGCAGAGACGTCGTCGTGCGCTTAGATTCTGTGGAGTTTTCGGTGCCCCGCAGTGGCAGCGAGGTAACCCCAAATAGCAACAATCAGCACAGCAGCAGCAGCATCAGCATAAGCAGCGGCAACGTGGCCACATCAGCAACAGCAACGGCAACAGCAACCGAACGCCAAAAGCTGAACTACATAAAACATAAAGCTGGCCAAAGCATTGTGCTTTCGAGAACTTGACTTTAAAATAATGCAAATGAAAATTAATCCAGCAGGAAGAACTTATTTGAATATAATTTGCATTGCTTTTTTCTGCAATTTTTAACCATGTTGGGAACATTTTAAATTAACAGTTCGAAACTGGACTCACAAACTGTATATATGTATCCTTCAGTAATTTATAACTACGCACCACACATGTTGTTCGATCCTGAAACAGAATACTATGACTGAAAACACTCCTCTATTGCAAGTGATACCCATAAAAGGAAGGCGTTCGCTGAGCATTGTGTTAGAAGAAGCATTGCGAAGACCTTTATTGAACATTTTCCAAGGCTCTGCTTGAGAAATGCCAAGGAACTGTCGTTGATTTTCTCAAAATGCTAAAGTTGAACTTGTGGGTGCTTGAGATCTGTTTGAAATGTTGATCACTTCTTTGGATGACCATGGTGACATTTCTTGGGATTTGTGATGGCTTTTATATAGTACCAATCCTTATAATCAAGCCAAGACTTTATTTCAACGTCGACTTGAGTCGGCCAGTCTGTGTCCGATTGAGATCCAAGACCTCCCCCAACATGTTACCTTTCACTTGCGACTGACAACTGCACTGATGGTAACATTTTCATATTTTTTTGCCAGTGTCAGCTTTGAAATGTAACGGGCTCTGGTGGGGAAGCCATTCGTCATTGGCGTTCGGCTGGCTGCACGACAAACATCCAATTAAGCTATAAAAATCTTAATTTAATTATTTGCTACACGAACAAAGCCGCAGAACGAACGCTGGATGATGGAAATTGTACGGAGTTTGGAGCTTGGAGTTTGGGGTTTGGAGATGGCGATGGTGGTTGGCGATGAAGTTGGATTCAGAAGACGAGGGGAATAGATGGGGCCTCGCTTCGAAAAGGAGGCAAAGCCACAGCATTTGCCATTCACATCCCCGTTCGCATTCGCATTCGCATTCGCATTCGCATTTGCAGTTTGGAAAACGAGTGCAGCGGCGAGATGACGACAACGATTTATGGTGGCCGGTTTTTCTTCATTTGGGCTCTGCTCTGAGCCCGAGCTGCTAGCTGCTGGCTCTTAGCTCCTAGCTCCTAGCTCCGACCTCTGAACACCGACCACCGAACACCGAACTCCGACTCTAAGCAAAGACAAAAAGCAAAAGGCAAATAAATCAAAAAGCAAGATCACGAGCAGCCAAGCAGCCAAGCAAGCGAGCAAACGAGCAACAAGGCAGCATGCATTTTTCATGAATTAGTTCACATATAAAAGTCAAATGCAAGCCAGAGTTGGAAAACCGGCCAAAAGGGGGCGGGTGGCCGGCAACTGGAGTTGGCTGGAGGCGCATAAACAGATTTTGTGGTGGTAGAACACACCGAGGAAAAAAACTGACAGCCCACTAAGCCCACAACAAGAAACAGCAAAAATCGAGACCAGTCAACAAATAGAGAGGAAAAAAAAGAACGAAAAGGAGTTGGTTCCTGCGAAAACATTTCGGCCTTAAAGAGTAAAAGGTTTGTGTAGCTTGGCTGCTGCATAATTAATGAAATTAAAACAGCTAGCAGTCTATTTCTGTCATTTTTCTGGGCCATAAATTAGATGAAACATGAGCACTCGAAGAATCAAGTCAGGGCTTTCAGGGCAGTGATAATAGCAAGCCGATAATGCGAATCGCCCCGGGGACAAGGAGTGTGGAAAACATATTTTGGATAAAAGGTCTTAGCCGTAGCGAAATCGAAATCAAAACGAGCCGCCGCCTGACTGACCCAAAAAACGACCTGGAAAAATCAACCTGGGATCCAGAAACCAAAAGCCCAGTCAGCAGGATAAAGCGAAAACGTTTAATGCGAGCTTGTTGTTAGCCGTTTTTGTTGTTGGCCGTTGTTTGCTGTATTTTGTTTGTTGTTATGCTTGTTGTTGGCATGCCCGTTAGCCATTCATGGACCCGGCCACTTGATACAACAACAGATCTCCCAACAGAAAGTCAGGAAAAGTGTGCCGGAGAGAAGCCGGGGTGGCTGGGTGGCTGAAAGCGGAATTTTGTTTGATTCTAGGAGATGAAAATGGCAGGCAGGCAGGCAGGGAGTGAGTACGAGTGCACGGTGAACGGAACATTGAGCAAATTAAAATATAATAAATGGACTTAAACACACTGGCATATGTCTGAGTTTGCTTTACTTTTCTGTACGAGTTTGGCAAACAACTCAGCAAAAGGAAGCTGATTCCCATTTAAATCTGCAGAACGACTGTAAACTGAGTGCGGAATGGGATTTTATTTACTCTTCCAGCTTTAAAATAAAGTTCAGCAGTGTTTGTCAAGAAGTTAACCTTAGAAGTTTCGAGCTTTCTCGATATATAGTACCTGCAGTTCTTTCTAACTAAATCCAACAATTCAGTTGCCTGGCCAAGTGAAATTTAGAGCATAAACGACTTCTGTCAGCCATATCTTCTCGATTTCCCTCGATAAATGGAACACAGCCCAATTTCAGTGTGCACCCAATAAGGCTCGGAAAAGCTTACCTGATGGACGCCAGGTGCCACGAAGGCCGAGGAATTCCGGAGCTGGATGTTGCTGCTGTTGTGGTTGAGGTTGATGCCGTTGTGCTGCAAGAAACAAAAGAGGACAAGGCTCGATTAGTGTCACGTCGGAAATCCAATGGAAAAACAGGGAATCCAAAAGACTTGAGGATTTCCTCCAACCTTATCAAGTCTTTATAATTTATATAAAATTGTGAAAAATGCAATAAGGCAAGGGACCTAAAGGGGCCTTAAGGACAGGTATTGCCGTGCAAAGGCCCATATCTAAAGTGTACACAAATACGGGTAACATAAATGCGGGAAAACTCGGTTCAAGGTTTCCACTACCGTCTGTTGGCCCACTTTTGAGGGTGGCGGCAAGAGTGAAAGTGAATTATTAAAAACAATTGCAATTGGCGTTGATAACAAGTGCACACGCGGCTCCCACTGTTGCTCATTAGGGTTTCTTTTGTGTTGCAACTGCAACAGAAGGTGGTTGGCGTTGTTGCCGCCGTTGCCGTTGCCGTCATCGTCCCCAATGCCCTATATTTCAGACACGCTCCAAGGTCGAAAGTTGAATTTATACATTATACCGCATAGCATGGCATATTTATTTTAAAATTGGTGCTCACCAGCTCACCAGAAGCTTAATTAAGGACAGTTCACAAATATTTGCACAGCAACTAATTGAATAAGAGCTAAATTGATAAATTGTATATATTTTTAGATGGGCAGATGTATCCTGCCTAATGGAACTTAATTAAAATATTCCTGCTGGTTTGGCTCTCTCGGCCCACAGTTTTCAGTTCTCAGCTCAGCTCTCTGCTGGCAGTCCGCTTTAATTAATGATAGTCGACAAGTGCAACAGCGGCCACGCCCTTTATTCGGCCCCCTGTCCTGCGAGGAGAGCCAAAACAAAAAGGTCCGTCAGCTGGATGTCAGCGTGTCGAGAAGAAGGGCGTCGGAGCAGACTTTCAGTCCTGGCCAAATGGATAAAAACAGCAGAAGCAGCTTAGCTGGATTGCAGATTGCAGATTGTTCATACGCTGCGTGGTCCCCTTGAGCCAAAATGAAGTTGCTTGCGGTTTGGAACAGACAGCGAGGGCAGGGCAAGGCAGAATCATGATTTATGTCTTTTTATTTAATTTTCATTGAAAAACTGGCACACAAGGCGACATGACGACAAACAACCGAAACACCAACCCAGTCCGGCTAGCCAAATATAATTAAAATGGCATTTGCTCGCCATTTTGCCCTACCCTTGCCCTTTCCTAGCCACCTTTTTCCACCATCTTGCTTTGGCAGCAGCAATCTGCAGTTGCCAGTTGCCAGAGCCTGGAAATGCAAATAAATAAGACAATGGCAAAGGCTCAAATGCAAATAGGATGACTTTATTAAAAGGCTCAGAATTGTTTATAAACTTCACAGTTGGCAAATAATAAATACCCAAGGCAAGGCACATACAAGAGAGGGACGAGGGAGTACGAAGCTGAGGAGCCAAATGTACTGGGACTTGATAAGGAAATAAAGAACGCCCCGTCTAACAGGCCACGCGACCTTTTCTGTCTGACTTTCCCTCTTGTTTTTTTTTCCTATTATGACAAATGCAAATGACACACTCCAAAAAGGTGCCTGCACAGTGGGGAATATGAACTGCTGGGTGTGGGCGCAGTCTATAAACAAGAATTAAAATGGCAATGACAATAATACAACAACAGCCAGGAGGCAGCACAGTGGTACAGAATCGAGACCAACTTATGAAAAAGGAAACAAAGGAGGGCAAAAAGAGTTGAGGAAAAACCCACAAGAGTGAATTTCTACAGCCTTCCCTGCGGACTGTGCAAAAGAAAACCGACTTGAGGGATTTCCTCGGGCTGCTTTTACCCATTCTATCTCCCTCGCCTAGAGGACTTTCCTCCCACAATTCTTGGCACATTCCCCACGGTGCACGAGTTGCCAGTTGCCCGTTGCCCGTTTGCCCGCTGCAAAGGGAAAAATGTAAGAGGCAGGGCGGGCAGTTGGCAACCAGAAAAATGCCGCCAACGCCATAAATCATGCGGCGGCCAGCAGCAACAGCAACAGCGACTGACAACCAGCAACAGAAATGTAACAAAAAAGTATAAACATAAAAAAGCGAAATTAAATAACAATAACAAGGTTATTCTGCGAGTGTTGCTGGCGTTGCTGCGATAACGCTTTTGCTTTTGCTTTGGCTCTGCTTTTGCCTTTGCCAACTAAGTGCAGCCGGGCAACATGGAAAACATTTCAAGTGTGCAGCAAATTGAGTGTTTTTATTGCATTAACATAAATAAATTAGAATGCCGGGAAATGGAATGGTCTTTGGCACGTTGCTGCAGACTTACAACGCGTGTTTCCAGCCGCAGATATATACACTCGCAGAAATTTGTGTTTCTCTCGTAGATTATCATAATTTAGAATCTAAATCAGAGGTGCTCAAACCCCAGACTATTTACTAATACAAATACAAGAAAGCGCGTACATATTTAGTGACACTTTTGTGTTGGTCTGCAGCTGTACACTGAGAGAAAGAAAAACACTCTTATTACTCATTTTAGCACTCGCGTCGATGGTCCACTGCGAAATAAACGCTAAAGTGCAAACAGAAGTTAAAGGAACGGAATTCCAGTGCAAGTGTCCGAGGATGGCCGAAGAAGAAACCAAAACAAATTACACGGAATGAGGCGGAAAGAAGAAACAACAAATTTGTAGCGGAATAGCTCGGAGTTTGAGGATGATCGAGGAAAGAGGTGGAAAGAGGGAAACGAAAAATTGTTGGTGGAACAGCTAGGAGTACGAGGATGATCGAGGAAGAAACAAGAACAAATTGTACTCCAGTTGGAGACGGAATGAGGCGGAAAGCGGGAAGCGAAAAATTGTTGGTGGAGCATTTACAAAAACAAATGAGCACTCAGAGCATAGGCGTTGAGTACCCCTTATTTAGATAAGCACTAAGTGAGGAAGGGTGCAGAAGGGAATCCATCTATGTTTAATATCGATTGCACTCCCTACCACTAGCTGTTAGCTCACCTGTTCGAATTTTGTTTTGAGTTTCATGCGGAAATTGTAATGACAGCTGCTCCTGCCAGGGCCTCTGATATTGCAGCTCCTGGAACAACACTAGCCTTGTGGCAGGGACAGCACCGCCCACCGCCTGTTGCCAAATGACAAAACAAAGCTTTAAGCTCCTTTTGGCCAGTGTCAATAAAATGAAATTAAGAACTTTAAATGGCCGAGAGCCCAAGGACAATTTAATCAAACCAACTGCAAATGAATGCACAGAATGGCAGCATTTGCGTGCCGACACAACAGCAGTAGTAGCAGCAGCAGCAACCGCAGCAGCAATACCAACTGCAGCAGCAACGAGCAACGAGCAACGAGCAACAAGCAACATCCCAACAGCAACAGGAAACGCAGCAAAAGCAGAAGCAGAAGCAGCAGCACCAGTAGCAGAACCAGCAGCAGCAGCAGCAGCAGCAGCAGCAGCAGAAACAATCAAAAAGTTTTTAAAACAAATTAAAACTTGACGACAAGAACAAGAAAGGGAAGAAGGGAAAATGAGCAACTGGAACTACAATGGCTTCTTTAAATTTATTATGCGGTCAATTGCAAGATGTCCAAAAAAGAGTGACCGAGACAGAAACAGAACAGAGACACCTCCTTCCTTCATTAGCTGTCCGGCAAAAAACACCAAAGTTAGCAGGAAGAAACTTTGGCTTCGTCTAATTTGTTTCAGTCATTTATAAAACGCAAACTATTCAAGGTATTTACTAGTCAAACAAAAGTTACAGTTAACTGAAAAGTTGGCATTTAGTAAGCCTATAAATGTTTACTTTATGCCCTTAAAAATTTCTATTCAATTCGAAGCAGAACTGTAAATTAAAGTAAAATTGATGATTGTCGATACAATTAGGGCAAGCTTTTAAGAGTTTTAAGTTATGGTGAACTCGAAAGAGTTTTCCAATTTAAATAAACATTTTCAATGCTCACTCAACAGCTTTTGCTCTTGGATAATGCTCGCAGTTAATCGTAAATTGCAATTGAATGACAGACTCCCATTTCGAAGGCGGCCACGCCCCACGCCCCATGCCCAAAATGCAATCAAACGCGATGAAAACTTGCAACACAATGCGGCGAAAACTTTCGGCGATAGACGAGGGAAAACTGCTCAGCTGCAATGGCAAACAAACTTAAATCGAATTCATGACAAATGATGCGCGAATTTTCACCATTCACTCGCCTTTGAGGAACTAACCGAGAAATACAAATTATAAAGACGTGGTAGCTGAGACAGAAAGACGGATGGAAGCATCAGCCATCAGCATCAGCATCAGCATTGAGATCAAAAATAATATACGAGTGGGTATGAGGGCCGTCGGAGTCAAGGTTATGCCTAGGTTCAATTACCCCTCCGTTTTACCATTCCACACTTTTTTATTTATTTTCTGCCCCTGTTATTATGGTCTTTTGTCAAAAGGTTAAAGCCAAATGAGAAAACAAAGTCTTATGCTTGAGTGCACAGTCAAGGGTGCTTCTTCTTGGCCTTTTCCGCTTCTTATTATTGGGCAGACTGGCCATGATGATGATAAGACTGTAATTACATTTCGAGTGCATCCAAATGCATCCGTAAGCTTGAGAGCACGGAAGGGGCAATCAATCTATTTTAGTCATTCTACTAACTCCTCAGCACATGTGTACATGCTTACACTTTAAACTCGCATTAAACGAAGTAACTAGCTTCCACTAGGAACTTAGTTCGGGGCTAGCCAACGTCAGAATGCCAAAGCAGCAGCAGCCACCGGACATTTGGGGATTGTAGTCAAACACATTTGTTAAAAATTCGAAATCCCCATAAGCCAGGGGATTGGATTGCTGGGAAGTTTACACTGATGTCGTGTGTGGGTTGTGTGTTGTGTGTGGTGTGTGCTGTTCACTTTTAGTCTTTTAGTTTTAGTTTGCGACAGTTTGGTTTGCGTTGGCTTTTTTGACAGCAACTAATCGGCAATCAATCGATCGTGTAGCATCGGTCATCGGTCTGAGAAAGTCTCTCGCCCTCGCCATCATCGATC